CCCCCCCCCCCCCCCCCCCCCCCAGTATCCAGAGTACCTACTACTATCTTTGCGAAATACTAGAAATTAAAGAAGCCTGAAGATATAGAGTGAAAAGTGTTATCGCAAAATTTCTAATGTGCACATTTATGAAACATTTTAAATACGTTCATTATATAGGTACATTTAGTACTGCTTTTAAATGAACTCTATTCACTGAGAAGAGTTCTGTTCAGAAAATTTATATGAATTCGAAGCTCCTTCGAATGGCCTTGGTAGCGTAAAAGATTCAGAGAACACACGATAGTTACGAGGGACTCAGCGTTTAGCTCCTTTTGAGTCCTACAGTACGTATGATGCGGTGCAAATCTGGATTTGATTTGACCCTAGTGTGATTGTCCTGTTTAGGTCATACCTGTCTTATGGAAGGTAAAGGAATTGAATGATGAAATTAAGACTTGCATAGTACAGGAGAATAACATGTTGATTGAAAAAGACATAAGTAGACTGAAAGGGAGGAAAATCGATGGTTAATCCAATTATCATGAACAAATAATTTATGAAAATTGTGTATAGAGTAAACTAAGATGGGTTAGTCGGCAAAAAGTTTAAATTGAAGTAAAGTTTTAACGAATTTATTTGTAAGGAAACACGATTTCAAAATTATCGATTTGTTATTGGATCTCATTTTTTTCCTATCGAATATTATTAGTGAATAAGTGAAACACGGACATTAATTGCATGCTAAGCACTATAATCTAACGAGTTAGAACATTTTAATGAAACAGTCTTTAGTTACATTTTTATAAATAAGGTTTTGTGGTGTCGTCATTAAGTTTAACGTTCAGGAGTTGGCCGTGAGATATTTATTTTAACTGGCGCTGAAGACAGTAAATAGAATAAGAAAGTTACAATCAAAGATACGAAGTGTATTCATTCATTTATTGTTTTTTTAAGGTGCGGACCAGCCAGTAGTCAATATGGGTAAACACTCTTTTTGCATCCTTCAAATATACCTATATAAAATTCTTGATTGTTCTCCAATTATTATTAACCTTCCATAGCTTTAAGAAAGTCACATACATCTCAGAATTGATTGTATAATTCATCAACTGCGATTTGAAATGTTCACTTTTCATTCGCCATAAGTCAAGACTATTCAGCAATATGAGTAGTAAACATATTTTGCTTTCATTTTGGAAACAATTAAATCTGAACTTGAACAATAAAACCAGTAGGATTGTGGGCATTGGGTTATTGGCTTCGGGCATTTCAAATTTGATGTATATGACCATTCATAATGTTAAACCGATGCAATTAATATTGCAGTAAAATAAAACTGGCACTTGCTTCGATTTGATCGAATATCACAATTCAAATGAGCATTCGTATATTTCAAGTTGATTGACCACTACGTTAGATTGAGTGATTATTCATGTCGTTCACAGATCAGGTAAAAACCGATCATTCAGCTTTCCTCACCAGGCCTCCAAGTATATGGATTTCGGGCTCTCTAAGAAGGGGATAAATCCAAGTGAATTTCACCTTGAAAAATAACTTGGGACGATAATTTTGGAGCTAAAATAAAGCGAATTACTCCTCTTTAAAGTAAGCTTTCATCTCCTCTTTTTCTGTTTCCTCTCTATGATGAAGAATTACAGAGCTCACTTGCTCTAGAACTATGTAAAACGAATACTATTTAATTAAGATTCAGTATAATTTTAAGTTAAAGTCGAAATGATTCCTTGCAAGTAATAGACCCCTCAAATCGCACCTCAGTTCAACTAAAGTTCGAAAAGTAGTTAATTAGTAATGTAAAGAGCTTAAGGATATCTCAAACACTGATAACCGAAATTCTAGACATAACTTACTTCTATAACCAGTAATTTTCATAAACTTATCCTTTTGCAATAGGCCAGAATTTACATTCTTAAGGGCTAAATCAAGCCCATTATTTTAAAAAAAACTGATCCAAACTACCGAAATAAGGCACAATTTCTTTTCAACTAGAATGATATTTAATCCAAAACGTATCTGCGAATTACAGACCAATCAGGTACTGGATTTAATAAATCGTGCTCTGATTGGTTAACTGTCTGAAATCATGAACGAATCAGATCGTAATAGGTGTCTTATAAGCAGTCGCGCAGGTTTTTCATTGGCTATTCGAAAAAAGTTATATATTAACATTTTATAGCTCTCAGTCACAAATGGATTCGGATAATCCTCAGTGCAGTGATCAAAGGACTGGCGTTCGTAGACCTAGATGCGCACGTTGTCGAAACCATGGATTAGTGAATTTAATCAGAGGTCACAAACGGGATTGTCCTTATCGAGATTGCAGATGTGAAGAGTGCATACTTGTTGTAGAGAGACAAAGAATCATGGCAGCGCAGGTGGCTCTCAAGCGGAAGCAAAACGCAGAGGACAGGGAAATGGAAGCCATGCGAAATGCATTGGAGCCTGAAATCCAATCATTACAAGGAAGTGCTGTCGACCTAACTTCAACACCAATTCCTAAAAGTAATTTTTCGCCATTAAATTATATTTACTTATAACTTTTCATCAAGGTGTTCTGACAGGTATTCAGGTTAGACAGAAACTAGATATTTTCCAACTCCACATTTATCTATCACATAGGGAAGTGAAGTTAGGAGATTTTTAACTGGAAATTGGGACCCAATTGTGCAAATAGGTCCTCCAAATCCTTATTTTTAGGAAAATTTGGCTAGAATTTTGTAGATATCAGGTTGGGTTGGTTGATTTTTTATTTAATTTTTTTCTCCATACGTGTTCAAATTCGTCCTGGCGATCAAGAATGCCTATCGGTTGAACCTAAAATTTTTGGCCATTGGCACCGTTTCCATTTATAAAGTAGAAAAGGCATTTGCTTTTATAGGTTAATAATATTTTTGATTCCATTTTAAGTTGTACTATTTTAGATAGGTTTTTACACCTATTAGCTATTACAATGTCTTCTGTGACTTTGACGTCCTGACCTTTAACTTTCCTTGCGTTATGCACTAAATTTTGTTGATTTTTAAGTTCCTAGCATTGTAAACCCTTAGTTGCTTCAATTTGCCCTTTTCGTTTGATTAAACATCACTTTTGAGTTTGAATTCAGTTTAATATTACATCAAAAACACACGTCTTAAGACTGCTTAGTGAATGGTCAACAAAAATTTAAGCCTTATAAGGAACTCGCATCTTATTGGCCACAATTAGCAACTTATCATTGGACTTGCATTGTTGAGCGTAGATATGTACATTTCTTTAACATTTTAATCTTGAGCGTTTGCTTTTCACGAGCCAAACCTTTTGATTTGACCCCGCATTACTAAGTAAACTGGCAAAACAACTTGTTAAGAGTAAAAAAGTAAATTTCATTACCCATTACTAAGTAGGTGACAGTATGAACACCTATCATATCAGAGGTCACGAGGTCAGAGCTCATTGCGCATTCAAGAGGTGGGAAAGAGGTTTAGTGGAATGCGAGTTTCATGAAATAGCTATTTAATAATAAGTTCCCTCTAAACGGGTAAATTTCTCGGAAGCTCGAACTTCGATTTGTGGTGATTTCAATCGGAATGGAATTCTATTTTTATTTCAGATTAATATCAGAATGCAGAGTTGACATCTTCCCAAGCATGGGCCAATTTAGTGAAAATAATATTCCGAGACCACAGCACTATTAGTTTGAGGCTTTAATTATCATGAATTTTGCCCAGGGTGCTTTAATTTGATTGTTATTTCTGCATTTAAATACATATAATCTCACGTTTTCCTCAGATGAATAACCACTATCCTTCTTCCACTTTTCAGTGAGGCCAAAATCTGTATCTCCTTCTCAAATTAGCCATGATTCCGCATATTTGACAGCTGATTCGCGCATATCTCTTCGAAGTGATAGCTTTTCCTCTTCTACAACTCCTGCTTCACCGCCGATTCAGCAATGTTCTCCATTGTTCATGTCTATGAGGAGCTTAGCGAAACAAGCGGAAGAGGTTAAACGTGCCTTAATAAGCCACCTTAAAGAAGGTACTCTGACATCGAAAGTTTCGTCTCAACTCTTTGCCCAATTGCCTCATCCCTCAGCAGTGCAAATGGCAGCGTATTGCCCGCAGTCTCCATCCCTATCCTCTGCAAAGGTTACTCTACACAACCAATAGAAATCAATCGGGCAATTTTTTAATCAGTTCTAAATTTCATTGCATGCGGTTATGTCTGTCCAAATTTCCCAATGCAGCAAATCTAGGCAGATATTTTATTTTTTAAAATCATATAATTATACGATGTTTTATTCCTACTTTATGTATAGAAAATAAAAATGACTGCAATTTATCCTTAAATCTCTCATGTTTCGGGTCGATCAAATAGTAGACAAGGTGGGAATTAGAGGTTGGGATATGGGTACGTCAGTAATCTCGTGAATACCTGTTATCCAATGATAACCGGTATTGGGCAATGGTAATTTCATATCGATTAGATCTAACATAAATCTACACTTCCCTGAAATTCGTAAGAATTAGCAGAACATACACTGAGTAAACTTTATTTGAGTAATGTTTAATATTTTTATATATCCGACTAATGTATTAAGATATATCAGGCTGCAGACGAACACAAGTAGTTATATTTAATCGATATTAGCACCCCATTACCGCATACAATTCTATAATTATAAATGAACTTATATGACAAGCTGGGAAGTAAATTGGTGATAGTTTGGCATTAGTTTAATCAAATATGGATCAAATTATTCTTAAGTTCAACAGGTGAATGAAAGATAAGAAATATGTGCTCCTCTACTGATAAACTTACGAATTGACGCTTCCATAGCATTACAGAAAGCGGCTAAGGGAATACTCTTGTACGGTTGAATAGTAATCTAATGGATAGCACTTTAATGACCTCTGACTCGTGTCAAGCATTGGGCGAATGTCTAATCCATTAAATTTGCTCAACTTTGATTGCACCATTTTTCCTCCCCTATTCAAAGTAATTGTGCGAACGAAAGGCAAATACGGGTTCAAGGCTTTCATATTTGAAAACTACTCAATTTAGTAAAGTTCAGAAATTTTTTAAGGCTTCTTCTCGAACTTTGAGGGTTTTGAGCATAAGCAGGTGGCGATTGTTACTTAAAATCAAGACACAGCTAATTTAAGAACTGTATCCTAACATTTCACTGTCCTCTTTTTCTTGGAATGGCGTTCACCAAAATTGTTAGTCTCTCGGACAACAGTTAGTGCCTTCCATACAACCGATAACTCTAATCAGGCGAGCTGAATATAGTAATGTGTGGTCATTGTAATTGATACTGGGATACCTGACCTGCAGGTAGCCTGTCATCAAGACATAATGTAAACTTTCGATTGCAATTCTTTAACAGGAAACAGTAAGTAAACTAAGTATCATCTATGGGCATACAGATGATTAGAAGTTGTGACAAACCTGATAGTCCTGGTGTAAAATAAATTTTAACCCTCCCGTTTCTCTGACTCAAAATCCCACCGTCTCTGTTTCATATTTACTTATCTTTTATCTTTCTGTAACTTTCCCATGACATTCAAACTCACAGAAGAGGAAGTTCGTAATGGTGGAATATATTCAATTTTAAAAGGGCGAATTTTGAAATCGAGAACCAATGGGTTCGAACCATGGTTTGATTTTAACTTGGCTGGAGGTAGAACTATTCGTCATTGAGACAAAGACTAATTTGGACGGTGTAACCTTCCGTTCAGCTGGAGCTGTTGGTTAATCCGTTTTGATCGCGTTCCCCCTTAATGCTGAACCTTCTTTCACATTTTCCCTGTTAAGATTCTGGCAGATTATTATCTTCATTGCCTTAAGAACTAAAGATAAATGGTATAAAGAACGAAGTTCGATTATAAGGATAACAAAACCTCTCTAGATTATGATAATATAAAGTGATATTTTCAAACGTAAGTGAGTTTCTAATTAATCTAGGACACTGATGTATCTTTCCCATCCCAAGCTCTCAAAAATTTAACCGTGCACCCATTAAGGGAACATGTGAGTCCAGACAATAATAGTCGCTGTCTATAAAAAGCCTAAAAAAGTACTGCGAATCTGTGGGAACAACACTAAATGTTTCGCCACCAATCGATAGAAATATGGCTTCATTGGGGATGAGGCGATTCCAAATGTAATAAAAAATTTCAGGACCTAAAATATGCAAGAATAAAACACCAGAGTTCATTATCCTTGCTGGAAAGCTAGTGCCGAATTTAAAATAACCTACATGTTCTGGTCAACACATGGTCAAATTGTACATGGATAATTTTTTTTCACCGACCTCAACACCTCAGGCTAATTAAGCATAACGTTCGTCAGCATCTGCTTGATACAAAACCCAGAATAAAAGGATCTTTTAATTGCTAGCTGAATGCGACAGCGGCTTCCTTGCTTATTCTAAAGGGGGATGATATTCTGAACCGTTGCTGTTATTAAAATAATGAACAAACTTGTTAGAGTCCACACAAAGTGAACTTCAAGGAGCACGAATAAATCAAAAAAGGAATATGAATAACTAAAGTCTTTGAATGTCATGAGGATGATTTCACTTATGTGACTGGGAGTTAAATACTTAAGCTTCAACAATGATTAATATTCCTCTTGGAGGGGTGTGCGATAGACTTACCTCCACGCGGTGCATCCTGGGCAACGTATACTCATACGGCAAAAAGTTTTTTAACCGGCAGTTGACTTCTGTCTTCAAACTGCCATCACCCCACTGTATGTCATGTTCCAACACTTTCACAGTACTCACCTTTATTTTTTCTCTACCTTTGTGTCTG